CCCCAAAACCCCAAAACCCCAAAACCCCAAAACCCCTTAATTATGCCTAAAATTGAAATATGGTAATACTCCAGAAAAAGCTGATCAAGTGATTATTTAGATAAAAGGAGCATTTACATTATTTTTCTTCCTCTCAAGAATCATCTTCTGCAAGAGTTCATGATAGTTGATCCCATTCTTTCCTTGTTTGTACAGTGTGGAGTAATTAGGAGGAACATATCTGGAAATTATGACTAAACTTACTTATTAGTACCATCACAAGCTGTATAACTATCTTTCCGAGTAGCTGAGCTTGTATTAGATTTACTCTTCCGATGAGTCTTAGGTTGAGCCTGAGGATTAGAATTATAAGCATTTTCTAAAGGTAATATAAAACTTACCAGCTATTTTACTTGAATAGACTTTACTTTGCTTGGATCTCTTCATTTCAGAAGCTATATGAATCAGCTTATAAACTAACCTGTCATTCTGCTTGTGACTGATTCGTCTTGAGCCCCTACAAAACTAGAGATGCTTTTATTTTTGTTTCTGTTGTGTTTTGAATCAACTTTATTTGAGTAACTTCCTTCTCCATGGATACTAAACTGGCTATTCTTAATATTAAATGAATGGTATCCTAAATGTTTGTTAGAAGGCTTACCATGTTCAACATTCGGACTTATCCCTCTTTGAGTGTACGACGACCCTTGGGCTATTAATTTACGATTAAAATTACTCTTTCGTTGAGCTTTAGAAGAAAACTTTTCAGCCTGAATTTTGTACTTATTCTTCACATTCTTAGCATTCATATGAATCCGAGGAGATTTACTCGTGTCCTTGGAAACTTTCCTGCTCTTCAGTGCTTTCTTTCTCTTCCTGTAATCAAAAGTCTCTGGGCAGTAATTTTCGTCAATCTTCCGAGGAAGATTGAAATTAGTATCTCACGTCTTAAACTGGTTTGGATTATGATGACCCATTAAGTTACTCTGTGCATCCTCAGATTCAGGTTCTAGTAACTCAGTAGTTTTATTTTGAGTAGACTTATCAATAGAGTCCATTGCTTGCTTCAAAAACACATGAGTGTCCTGTAAAGCATTGCTTGAATTTTTGATCTGGTATTCTCCCACATTATCAGCATCAAATATCTGTGAAGATCCTGGGTTGTAAGGTGAATAAAGTCCATGAGAATTTACTTTATTCTCTCCCTGAGATTTCTTAACCAATACAGAAATCTTATTTTCTAAAGAAAATATCAAATTATGGAGTGACATCATTGAATTGTTAGCTCCTTTGTGTATCTCAGTGAGGAGCGTAGTTATGACCTCATTGGATTGTAGCAAAGAATTATTCATCCTCTTTTGAATGTTATCTGACTCTATTTTCAATTTATCATATTTATTTCTGCAACGCCTCAAATTTATCCTTTGAGAACTTTAGAGGACTGTTGCCAGAACAATACTTCTTCAGCATTACATTTTCAGTAGTAATTCTTGAAATTTCATGTTTTTGCGTCATATTCTCTTCTTTTAGCTTGGAAATCTCCTCTCTGGTTTCCATGATGAAATTAAAAATATCTTTATGATTTAGGGTCTTGAATTCAGAGTATAAAGTTTGGAGGAACTTGCTATCACATTCTTGAGAAATTTTAACCTCCTTAGCCTTACTATCTAAGAATTCTTTGAATGAATCTGATCGGTAATAGTTCTCCTGAAGTTTTGACATAACATTCTTGATTGTACTTTTGCCGTCAAGTCTTAAATCAGTTTTAATAGAATTTTGATTTTCTAATTGCATAAATGATTTTTCTGAGGATAAAAACTCTTGGCTGTATTGTAACGTTGCATTGAGCTTTACTTCTTCGCTAACTTTGTTCTCATATATTACTGATTCCTCTTTCTGAGTTTTTTGTCTCTGTTCAACAAATTCCTTCAAGCCAGGAATAGAATTTTTCCCAAAACTACTTCCAATAAAATGGTAGCTTCCAGAATTTGAATCGGTTTTCCCTTTTAAACGATCGTAGTCTTTACTCTTCTTAGATATCACTGAATGCTGAGAGCTTTTTATCAGAGTTTCTAAAATGAGGACACTCTCTTTACCTGACTTTGAATGATTAATTCTGTCAATATAGTCATCGACCTCATCCTCATCCTCTTCTTCAAGGTCATAAGAGTCTTCAATTTCCTTGGAGTTACTCCTTTGTACACTCTAAAATATTATAAATCCACCTGTGCCTTATTTCCCCCAGAAATATTTTGGATCTCTTTAAGAGGCTCTTTTGAGTCCTTCTTTAGGTGAGATCGGGTTCTATCCTGCCTGCTTATGTCTGCTTTCACTTTAACCTCAACTGTGTTGGAAGACCTTGACTCATAAAATTTATCTCCATCAGGAGTCAGGTCAATATTGTTACTCCCGGAATATTGGTGGAGACCTATACCAGGTTATTGGTTCATTACTATCATGGCTTTGATCAGGTAGAGGCTTGAAAGAGTTCATTATCCCTTTTTCATTGGGATAAAAGATATCTCATTCCTCATATTTCTTAATATTGCTCTTATTTAGTCGCTGAATTTTCTCTAGCTGTAGTTGCTACATCATAGATATAGTTTGTGGCTTTTAAAAGTCAAAAATTTAGATTAAAATTCTTAAATTTCTTGTATGATTACCTATTTTATCAATGGAAGAGATCTCTTCTCTGATCATGGAATCTAAATCCCTAAAGCCTTCAAATGACATTATTCAAACTTAAATATTTAAAATTTCAAAAATGCAAATTAATAACGGGGTTTTGGGGTTTTGGGGTTTTGGGGTTTTGGGGTTTTGGGGTTTT